GTGTTCTGAGGAGGTTCTGGAGGAAGCAGTACCTAAACGTTGCTTCAGCTCCAACCAGGTGTTTGTGGATCTCTTCGCTGACTCGTCCTTCGCTGCAGATGACGGCGAAACACAGAGAAAAGAAGAAAATCCGGCCTCACGAAGCCGCCTGAAACTTTTTCAATTACCTTCCCCAAAAGTTCCTGAGGTCTGAACATCCAGAGCAGCAATCAGCTGTACGGAGGCCCGGCGGGGTCAGCCGGAGCGAGGCGGGGGGAGGGAGTGGAGTACGGAGGCAGATTATTCCTCCGAGTCTGCAGACAGGATGGGAGGTCAGGAGGCGAGCCGGCAGCCAGCGGTTTAAATGACTTGGTTTTAGTGGAGCGTAGTCTAATACAGCACCTTCAGTCACCTCGCTGCTCCTTTTATTCTTCCTCTTTCAAAATTAATTTCCTCGCTGAAAGGGCGGCTTCAGAAATGGATGGCTACGGGCTGGAGGTGCCGCCTGTCGCCTCTTTCTGCAGATTGTTCTGAAATCTGCCTTTCTTTGGGGCTTTAATTCGCGGCTCCGTGAACTCGCCGCTGATTGTGTGGAAGCTGATTTCGGAGCCGCCGTCTAATGACTCGGGACTGTCGGTGAAGCTGTCGGCCTAATTGGACGCTGACAGGTTGGATTGTTTCGGCTGCAGACGGTGGTCCTGGTGGCTGATCCGGTTACCTGCTGCTGTGGAGGAACGCCGTCGCTCCGTTCGTCGGCTGATGGAGCAGATTTCTGTTCCTCTGGTTCAGGAACGTGATGCATCGCAGCAGAAAGGGAGGACGGAACCAGCAGCAGCTTTATAAACACTCTAGAAATGAGTTTAGACGTTTTCTAAAACAAGCTTCTGATGAACATCTGACTCACAAAAACACCAAAGAGACACAAACTGACTCCAGAGTGATGCACTGTGACGACAAACAGAAACTAATCATCGCTAAGTCACGGGAAAAAGACCATAAATACACAAAAAATGACCACAGACGTGTACAAAGTGACCATAAGAATGACACAAAGAGACACTAAATGACCACAAACAGAAACAGAAAGACCACCGGGACACAACATCACCACAAGCATCCAAGAAAACAATACACATAACAACAAACACACAAAAGGTGACCACAAACAGAAGCACTGCGATTACAAACACAAATAAAATGACCATAAAATTATGCAAAATGTTTTCAAAAAGATCAAAAATAACCTCACACATTCACAAAGTGACGCAAAACGACCACAGATATAAAAAATGGACAAAAAGATACACATTGTAGGAGGTTTGTCATTTCAGTTCACTCTTTATAGTCTAGTACTCGTCGGCTGCAGCAGTCGATGCGTCTTTGTGGCTGTTTCGTGTCTCTTTGTGGTTGTTTTGTGTCTCTTTGTGGTTGTTTTGTGCGTCTTTGTGGCTGTTTTCTGTCTCTTTGTCGTCGTTGTGGGTCTTCAGGTTGTCATTCAGCTCGTATCAGTGCTCATTGTGTGTCTCTGAGGTCTTTGTGTTGCGTCTCTGCTCTCCTTTAAAACCCCTTTCTTCACATCTTTTGTCTCTTTGTGTGTTTTTTTTGTGTCGTTTCGTCATAAATCTTTGTGGTCGCTGTGTGGTTGTGTGTCTGCGTTTTGTGTCTCTTTGTTCGGCTTTGAGGTGTTTTCTGTGATTGTGTTCCGTCTGTTTGCAGCCGTTTACATCTGTTTGAGTTTGTTTTGTGCTTCTCTGCGAGCGTTTCGTGTCTTCTCTTCTTTGTGGTTTCAGTTTGCTCGTCTTGTGTTGATTTTGTGTCTCTTTGTCTGAATATCTTTGGTCACAACAACACATCCGTCATGCCGGACTTCCACATTTTTCACCGTTTTCTGACGTTTTAGAGACAACACACCGGATCGATTGGTGAAGACAATAACCGATGGTGGAATTCAACGTCAGCTGGACGTTTGTGGAGACTCGGAGCTCCACCCTTGGCTTGTGTTCGACCAGGAAGCTCTGCTCTGGTTGCTTTTCTGTCTCAGTGTCAGAAGTTCAGAGTTTCTGTCTGAATCAGGAGCTAAAGTTTGTGAGAAAGTTCCTGCGATGGCGAGGATCCGTGATGTTTTCTTTGTCTGGTTGCGCACTCGAGCTGAGAGAATAACAATCCCTCATTTCAGACTCATGATGTCGTGATTTTCAGCTGAGAAAAAGACTTTCTGCCCGACAGCAGCAGCAGCTCAGATATTTTCGTGGGATTTATTTCCACGTCTGCTGCAGCCGTCGGATAGTTAGGGAATCGATCAAGGTGTATTTTAGAGGGATAGGCTGTTCTCTCAACAGGGATCTAAATTTTAAAAGGCTTCTTTTTAAGTGGAGGACGAGGCGTGATCCTCTCTGTGAAGAGGCGTCGCTCTCTAAGTCTCTATCATTACCTGCTGACAGCCGGTCTTAGCTCGGGTCAGATCTCAAAGTCAATCTGTCCTCGTTTCCACTCCGAGAACAGAGAGAGAAAAAAGAGGCTGAGCTCGTCTCCTCACAAAGGAAGGGAGGCAACAGGAAGCAGCGATTTGTCACAGAAGGAAATTCATCTTTTCTCCGAGAACGAACGGCGGAGAAATGTGAGCCGGTGATTTACAGAAAGCAGGAAAGAGAGAAGGCAGGACGGAGCGCTGGTTTCCTCCAGGAGGCGAGAGTTTCTAGAGGAGGGAGGACGATAAAGGAGAAGAAAACGTTTAGGGAGAGAGAACGTATCAGGGCTGGAGGACGATTCAGGAAATAGATTCAGCGCAAACCTTTATTAATCCTGACGGACGATGTGGTCAGACAACATGATTATATAAAGGCAGAAGTCCGACACGTTACTGGACATGAGCAGGAGCTGAAGCAGGACGAGGACAGAAACATGAGGATCACAGTGAAATCATGTCTAACTGGATGCTGCACACACCAGGTGGTGTTAGTGTTCACATTTAAACGTCTCATGTTCAACTTTATCAACTGAAGAAAGACAGAGCGGGGGGGGGTCTTAGCGAATGCTGCTAACGTGTTCGCCGCTAACGGTTAGCGGCGAACACGCTAGTAAATAGCAGCGTTAGCAGAGATGGTAGCGAAACTCCATCGGCGCTGGTTGTTGCGTACCCTCAGAAACAACGTAACGGGCCGTTACTCTGTTATGACACTGGAGAGAACCCTGAATGCGTTGTTGTTATTATTATGATTATGATTATTATTATTATTATTGTTATTGTTATTAATTATTGCTATTTGCATAATTTATTTCATGACTGAGTCGCTTGTTCACATACGAGGATTCCCACTGACAGACAATCAGAATGAATGCAACAGACGGACAGACAGACGGGTTAATATCAGACAGACAGACAGACAGACAGACAGACAGACAGACAGACAGACGGGTTAATATCAGACAGACAGACATGAAACCGGAGCAGGAGGAGCAGCAGCAGAGGGAAGCTCGGTGGATTTCAGCCTGCAGGCGTTTTAGCAGAGCTCGTCTCTCTGGACTAAAGCTGCCTTTAATGAATCCACACACACTCACTGAAGGTGTGTTTTATCTGCTGCACACACTCTCTCAGTAAAACACTCACACACACACACACACACACACACACACACACACACACACACACAGAGTGGAACACACACTCTGTCTGTGAGTAAAACAGAGCGCGGCCTGCTGGGACGCTAACATGGACAACCTGAGCGACGGCAGCTGATGAGCAGCAGCAGCATCAGCGGCTGACTTTCTGTGACTTTCACTCTGTTGCTGGTTTCATCTTCAGCAAACTCTGCTTTGGTCCAACTTCTCTGCTTCTGCATCGGTTTCAGGAACAGACGGAGCTTCACAGCGACTCCTAGACGTGACGGATTCATGTGGTTTATGACTGTTTTATGTGGTCTACAGGCTCACTGAAGGACCTCAGAGAAGAATCCTCACATTTGTTCATGTTCGTCCTGCAGCTCAGACGCTCGGTTCCATCTGGAGCCTCTTTCTAGACGTTTTAGCTCTAAAGCTGCACAGCGGCTCCTCCATAACCACCCGACTTTAGTTTTTTATTAATCACGTCCTCTTCTCTGATCCAGAAGCACCATCTGACCTTCTTCCTTCAGCTTCAGGTTCTCTCTCTATTAGCGGTTTTATCTGCATCGTCTCTGATAACTGGAGCACGACAGACAGAGAAATCCAGGTTCAATGAGCATCAGGCGTTAAAGCACAAACCACCGTGTTTCACATCTTTTCTGTTAATATTGAAATCATCCTGAAATCAACAGAAACAGTTTGATGTAACACTGTGACACAACTAAATGAGCCTCTCTGGCGTTTTACATGAATATAAACATAAAAACATGTTTTTAGCTGCTAACGTGGAGTCATGGACGCTTTCCTGCTAGAACATAAAAACACGAGTAGACCTTAGAGGAAAGACTACAAATAAAAGTATAATAATAATAATAATAATAATAATAATAATATCAGAGGAGGACTGTAGATTGAAGACGCTCTATTGAAATCTAAATAAACATTGTTCTTCATCATCTAATACAGAAACATGAAAGTCATAATTAAAAGCATTTCTGTCTGTATTTATTACAAACTAACTTGAGCTTCACAGCTTAAATCCTGCTAAACATCACATGAGTGTCATGAGTTTAAATATTAATGTTAAGAAAGACCAGAGTCACTGGTTCTGAAGGATTTGGCCATAAAACCTTAACTCTGTGTGATTTAACGTTTCAGGTCAAGTTGAACTGATTTATAACGATGACGCTGCTGCAGTGTTTTAACCCTTCATGTGTTCGTAGACTGATCTTCAAACAGGAGTAATATAATAATAATACTTATACTGGTTGTTCCTCAGGAGGCGTCTCTTTAATCCGACAGACATTAATACGTCATGAGAGCAGTGTGAGGTCCAACCTGACAGATCTCCTGATGTCTTATTTGCTCTGCCGGCTGGTTCGGTGTCGCCGGATTCAGAAGATCCTCCTTTCTGCACTAAAACCATCAGATTTCTTTGGTTGCTTCAGCGTTTTGCACAAACGCAGCCTGAACACTGTTCAAAGTGGGTTTCAACAGGTGAACTTCCAGGATTGTCAGCAGGACATAAATTATTCATGCTGGTTTTATTTTGTTTTAGTTGGACAGAAATCCTTCGTTCTGCTGTTTCTGTGTCACCTTCAGCAAACCTCTGAGCTTCTTCCTTCTCTGAGTTTTCATTTGCAGTCGTGAGTTTTTGTTCCAGGTTCTCTCTTTTTTTCTCCAAAATCACACGATAAGTTCCTCGTGTCTCGTTGATGTTCAGCTGCAGAACCCTCGTCATAACTATTATATGTTATATTTCATGGACCGCAGTCTCTCGACCAGCTCCAGGATTTTCGTTGTTCAGGTTGTTAGAAAAGCAAAAAATCCCAATAGTTGTGTTTTTTCCTTTAAGCTCAGACAAACTCTGGACAGGTTTCTGTGTCCGTCATGTTCAGTCTGTGGTGGTTTCAATGGTTTCTGTGGATTCTGCATCTTTTTTTGTGGCAATTTGGACATTTTACCACGTGTTTCTGTCAGTTTAAGCTCGCTTAGCAGTGATTTAGTGTCTTTAGGTGGTGGTTTTGCACATATTTGTAAGGATTTGGGTTTTTTTAGGTTTTCTGTCTACGTGTCGCTTTTGTGTGTATTTATGGTGATTTTGCACCTTCGATTCTTTGCTTTTAAATGAGAAAATAAATAAAAATGTCATAGAGAAACTGATTCTAGGTATTGAAGACACAAAACAACCACAAAGAGACACAAAACAGCCTCAAAGAGACACAAAACCACCACAAAGAGACACAAAACAG